CTGTGGCAAAAAAGTTCATAAAATGGGGCAAAACTCCCTTAACCATCTCACTTAGCAACATAATTTTTGGGCTCAATTGTCGTCGTAAGTCGTAGACTACCTGTACTAAAAATGAATTAATTGTCGAGTACGGTGGCTCCCAGGAGTCTCCCAGCATATGCTTATTCCTCATTATTAACACCACACCTGAAGATCTATCCTGAATTTGAAGCATTTGCAGTTATTACCTGTGGGGAGGTGCCTCTCTTCTCTTGCTTTTTCAGATAAAACCAGTGTTATTTCTTTGTTAATTTTCTTTTGTACATCATGGATCATATGTATTTCTACATTTTCCAAAAGTTTCTGAAACTAGAAAAAAGCAGATTTTTTTTTCTTTTATCAAGAGCAACTAAATGGATTCAGAGAGTACTGTGAGTACTTTCAAATTTAAAGTGAGTGTTTTTCAAGGACTACTCCAACTTTTATCCACGAAAGTTTGATTAATTCTGTTAAGTTAAAAAACATTCAAAAAACTAGTCATCTAAACATAATCAGATGAATCACAGCACATTTTAATAGTAAGGTTGATTTATTATTAATGAAAACATTTGTAAAAACTGTAGCTAGCAGGTACTTTCTTCACATTCACAAAACAGAAAGAGGTTGTTTTAAAGGGCATCAACAACAAATACCTTACATGCATCTATATGAAACTAAATTTTCAAACAAATAATATTTGTGTTCCTGATGCTTTGTTTGTTTCGTTTGTATGGTTATATTTTGAGTCATGGCCTGGACTGATCCCTGAGTTTTCTTGGCAAGATTTTGGGAAGTAGTTTGCCATTGCCTTCTTTATAGAGCTATAAGTGAGTGACTGGCCTATGCTCACCCAACTGAGTGCTTTGTTCTGATAACAATAACAGAGAGTTCCTGAAATAGCCTGTTATGATTCCTCCCCACCAGCTTTCTAACAAAGAAAAAAACTGTCTCAGGTTTCCACCGTCATTCAGACGGCAATTTTCACTTCCTCACCTGATGAAATAAACTTGTCAGCTAAATCTTATTTCATAACAGACCTGCTAATCTTTAAGAATCCATGAGGACGTTTACTGGTTTTTCTACAACTGATTGACATAGCTGCCTCTGACAAACTTGTTTTTCTTTTTCCTAGCAACAGGAAAAGCACAAAGTAGATCCCCATATGTTGGTGAGAAGATTATGATCAAAGGGATGCCGGGCAATATCAGGTGAAGCGGCCCAACAGCATATGTCTGTTTTAGTTTTTATATACACTCTCCAGAGTAAGAAGGCAGAATAGGAATCAAAGAAATACATTTGTTACGAAGTTGCAAGATTTATTTTTAAAAAAACCCTCTCCAAATACAATATATTAATATTTATGGAAAATAACACTAAATATTGAAGCAAGAATACATGTAGAAATAATAGTATCTGTTGGGAAAGCATTTGGCCTGCATGTGAGAGTACAACCTGCCTGAACAGATGTTCAGATGTACACATGTACACAATTAACAGTTGGCTGTCATTTAAATAAAGATAGATACTCCCACTCATTTCTGCTGGAGATAGATCCTGTGGTCCTTTTTAAATCAAATACAAACTTGGGAAAAGCCATTGAGAGGCTGATTAAGAATAGGATCTGTTCCATTTCTGCAGCATATACTCCAATATAAACATATAAGGACCTCCAAAAAGCAAGATGAAGCAGAGAAACATTTGTTTCAAGGGGGTTCTATTTCTGTAGAAATAAGTAAAACTGTTCTAGTCATGCATTTTTTCCAGTCTTGATTTCTGTTTACAGTGTTCTGTTAAATCCCTGTTCTTTACTGTTCTGAGCAAATCAAACTAGATTTTGTCCCCTTTGAATTATATCTTACTCATGTGCAAAAGACAGAAATTTCCTTCGTAATATCTTGTGACTCGTAATATTATTATGAGATATTGTAATAGTATCTCATTTGAGATTCTAGCAGAAATCATGCTATTTCTAGCAACCAATGTTATCTTGTGCCTGCCTGAAATATTTTCATCTGTATTTTTCTTGTGTGTTGCTGCTTGAACAGCTCTAATTTATTTCTACCAACATTTTAATGTTTACATTTTTATATTTGAAGTTTGAAAAGAAAGAATTTTAATTTTTCTTTAATAAAATTTTATTTTACCTGCCACTTGTAAAATTGACTTGCCTCCTAAAAAAAGGACTGATGCATAGCAGTTAGACTTATATACCGCTTCATAGGGCTTTCAGCCCTCTCTAAGCGGTTTACAGAGTCAGCTTATTGCCCCCAACAACAATCCGGGTCCTCATTTTACCCACCTCTGAAGGATGGAAGGCTGAGTCAACCCTGAGCTGGTGAGATTTGAACAGCCGAACTGCAGAGCTGCAGTCAGCTGAAGTAGCCTGCAGTGCTGCATTTAACCACTGCGCCACCTTGGCTCTAGTAAATTTCTCATGAAATTTACTGGATGATCATAGATGCTATCGCTGTTTAACCTACCACACCAGATTTCAATTAAATTAAAATGGAAATATGGGAAGGGAACATAACAGTATAAAATATTAATTGTAACACAGTCATTGTTATCTATTCATATGAAAACTATTCAAATAAAATCTGGCTAGAGATAGACTTCTTCTAATTTGTTAGAGGAAATATCCTTGATATATATTTTAATGAACAAATACCAATCTTTTCTTTTGCCCTATTTTACCTGGTGTGTTATTACATCAATTTTTGAAACTTCTTTAGGGAAGAACGAACATGGTTGGATAGTGCCATATTCTTCAAAGTCATCCTCTATACCACAATGTCTGGCTACGGATTTCATTGCAGCATGAAAGATTTCAGCTCTAAAAAAATGCAAAGATATAATTTCCATACATAGGTTTTTTTGTTAAATAACTTTTCAGTGACTTCAAAGGATAGCAATATTTACAAATATCTTCTATTAATATTGATATGGTGCTACTAATAATGAAAAGAATATTTCCATTTTGCTAATTCCATTCAGTGTCAAGTGACTAAAGCAATTAAGTAAAAGTACAATTTTAATTCCATAGTTGGTGCTGAGCTGGGCTCTTTGCTGGCAGAAGTTTCATTTCTCAGTTATGTAACATCATCAGTGCAACTTCACTGGACCACCAAGAACTCTACAGAACTCTACAACCCTGTAGAAGGTTGTAACCATCCATTCAGTTAGACTCTGGGTGGCTAACAAAATTCAAAAAACAATAAAAATTAATTAAATACATATAAACAGGCAGCCGAAACTAAAACAACCAGAACAGCAAACCACATGAATATGAGAAGGCCTCTAAAGATACGTCATTAATGCCAGAGTTGGAACAGACCAGGTTTTAAACGCTTTCTGGGACCTCAGGAGAGTAGACATCATTTGTATCTAGGGGTAATGGAGTCCCAGAGGGCAGGGCAGTGTGCAAGAGAGACCGTGCTTATTCAATCCCAGAAGATGACAGCTATTTATGGAAGAGATCTGAAGTGTATCAACTCTGGGTGGGCAGAAACAACTGAGAGATGCTATGGAGGACTTAATAGCTGTTGGCCAAGACCTTGAATTGCACCCAGAAGCGTACTGGCTTTATTTCCTATAAACAGTGGGTAGATTTCACCAGTGCATCAGCCTACAAATCACAATTGTTAGATAACTTAGCAAAGTTGCCATAAACATTTATGACTGAAGTCAATCAAATCACTTCCTTGTTTACTTACTTCATAAAGCTGTGAAAACAATATGATTCAGTTTATGAATACGTTCAATTAGTTCAACAGTTTATGAATACGTTCAATTAGAAACACACAGTAATATTTCCTCATTCCCAAGGGCAAGTATAACATTAAATACATGGTTGGTTATATTCTGATTTTTATTTAACATAGAAGTTCAAGAAAGGAAAGTAAATCCATTTGTCTTTGTCCTTATTTATAAACAAGGATGCATACTGTTGTTATTAAAAAAATGTTTTAGAATTAAATTTAATGTAACAAGGAAAACAGGAAGATGAAATATAAATAATGTTTTATTTTATAATCTGCACTGTGAGATTTAATATCCCTGAATCTATAAATTAAAAATATTTTACATTAAGCTGTAACTTACTCATACAAGTCAGAAAACTGCTTATACAGAGGAACTGTGTTGATATCCTCAACTTTCAATTTAAGTCTTCCCCATTCTGCCTTTAACATTTCCAGCTGCTTCCATCGTATCAGATATGATCTCTGCAAGGCATATGAGGTCATTGTATCAGGTGGTGCTGTTAAAGCTTTTCCTTTTGCTTCAGCTGTTGATGTTGCTGAAACCTGATGAAACAATGATTGGAAAATACAAGATCACTTTTTAGAAAGAGATTTTAACAGAGCTGCAAAAGCACATTTTTGCCAAGGTAACAAATTCAAAAATTGAATGAACGATTCAAGTCTACAGCTAACTTATTTCAGTCCATGTGTCAGCACTCCTCCATTGAATAATTAGGAAAGAAAACCACGAGAGTCCATTGATAGAAATCAAGTGTACTTTTACTAATTATAAATGATTAGAAGCGTAGCAAAGCGAAAGACTGATTATTTAGGCGCGAAAGCGATTGATATATAGAATAACCCATTCCCCACCCCTTGGCATCCCAGTTACAGTCCAATCATAATTCTCCCAAGTGTCAGGTGTGAGATAACTTCGAAAGGCATCACCCAGATGGAATGTCGGTGCCGTTGGCCTTGACGGGAAACCTCCTCCGCATGCGCAGCAAGAGAGGCAGCAAACTCCAGGATCCTCCTCCAGCACAATTAGTATTCCCCTCTCAAATACCATGCCCCCCTCCCCCGTTTCAATGGCAGCCGAAGCAGCAGCAAAGCAGAGGCTGACACCATGTTAATATTCGGTGTCAAAAGAAACCAAAATTGTGTGAATTAGCAATTGTAAACTTTCCATATAGTTATTCTTATACCAATAAAGGAGAATATTTGTAGTTCAGGGTTGAAGTAGAGGTGGTCTCTGAGCTAGGTTGTTTTCTTGCAGAAAAGACTAGCACTGTGGATGTTACTTAGTTGAGTAATAAAGTGTCTACAAGAAGATAACCAAGCTCAGAGACCACCAAGGATCTCTCAGTTATTCTTATTTCTGAGTCAATTACAGTATATAATAATTGCCCTGTTACTGATCACTGATCTACTAGCATCTAGTCTGACATGGTAGTTCAGATTTTTTTTTTAAAAAAATGTCATTTAAAAATAAACTGTCATTCAGTTATATGTTTGATACATTCTAGCAAAAGTCACCACGCACAATTTTTCTGGAACTTGAAAAATTTTATCATGTAATTAATGCAAGAAATTTAAAAAAACCCTAGTGTTAAAGTTATTTATTTAGTGCTAAATGCAAATTAGCCCCAAACAGAACAAGATTTATGCACAATTCTACCTGTTTTACCTTTCTGAATGGTTTTTGCACTTCTTGGTGGTCGGTCAGAATTTCGGCATTCCAGAGAACATCTTCCATTACAAACTGTATCCCAATCAGCTCTCCATGAGCTACTTTTTGATCCTCATTGCTCAAACCACATAGGCATAACTAAGAAAAGATGAGATGAATTCAGAACGTGATTGGGTTTTTACAAAAGTAAATCAATCATTGATTAATCTAAGAAGTCACACTAGGATGAAATACGATTTTATGGTACTAAGGTGTTGAATTCAGACATGGTGATGTAATAGATTTGTTCTAGATGCAATAAATGTGTTTTAATTTCTGTAATCATCTGCATAGTGTCAGAAACATAAAGAAATCTAAGATTACTAAGGAATAAAAGCCTCATACCTGCATACTAGAATTGATGGGATTTAGGTTACTTATGGTGTTGGGAAATGGACCTCCTTTTGCTAGGAATGTCCTCCAGGGAAACAGCATTAATGCCTAAAGAAAGTGATAATAGTAGAGATCTAATGTTAAGCCCCAGGCAGATGTATATTACCTCTAATATCCTTAAGTCCAGTTGAATTGACAGAAGTGTGCATTGATCAGTGAACTGTGCTAGGCAAAAGAGAAACAGAAAAATTCCAGGAAAAATCTCTGTAGATGCTTCACCCTTATTCATCACAGTGGAAATTCCTACATGGGCATAATTTGTCACATTTGCTCTTCATCTTCAGCCGCTATCATTTTAAAAGTCTCCTTGCATTGTCTTTTTCTCATCATGTGAGTGGTATTCATAATATTCAAGAGAATAATGGTTTTTTTAACCCTGAGCAACTGAGCTTCAGCTAGCTGGAAATGCACTGGAAAGTTATTAAATTCACATCTGGTGCTCTATGAATGGAAAGAGATACCCATTCCCAACTTGACAGAAAATCCTCAAGCTTCCAGGACTCAGAGTGTCCTGTGAACACTTGGACAAGTATTTAACATTGTTGCTGTGGCAAAAGGCGAGGCTCTGCTCTTCCATGCACGATGGAGTTTGACGGTCCCTATGGAATGTCACAAAAGTCTGCTTGCTGTGGTGGGCAAAGAAAAGATTCAAGGGTTCAACCACTCAGAGTTACCATGTGGTAAGAAGGGCGGTCAAATAAATAAATAATAGAATAAAATTGATATGAACATGGGGAAGAAACTTTGCATAAAGTCTTTTACATTGTCAAGAGCAGCTCTTGGCTTAGAAGCAAAATGAGTACATTGTACAGAGTCAATGTAATGCGTGACCTGTCAAAACCGCGGAGGACAAAATCGCGCTCGACGAAAGCGCGCATTTGACGTCACAGCGCAATGAAAAAAATTAAAAATTGAAATAAAATTAAAATTAAAGCAAGCCGATTCACATAAAGGTAAGGGTTAGGTTTAGGTTTAGGGTTAGGGTTAGGTTAAGGGTTAGGGTTAGGTTTAGAGCGTTAGGGTTACGTTTAGCGTTAGGTTAAGGGTTAGCGTTAGGTTTAGCGTTACGTTAACGGTTAGGTTTAGGGTTAGATTTAGGGTTAGGTTAAGGGTTAGGTTTAGGGTTAGGTTTGGGGGGGTTAGGGTAAGGTTTTCGCTTTATTTTTACATTTTTCGATCACAGCGCGATGTTTTCGTCGCGCTGTGATGACGTCAAATGCACGCTTTCGTCGAGCGCGATTTTGTCCTCCGCGGTTTTGTGGTGGAACCAATGTAATGTAGTGATTAAGGCAGTAGGCTACAAATGGGGAAAGGTGTAGTCCCATCTTAGGCACAAAGCCAGTTGGGTGGCCTTGAGCCAGTCTTTCTCTCCCAGCCCTAGGAAGCAAGCAATGGAAAAACAACTTCTGGAATAGAGTATTTGTAGTTAGGGTTCAACCCTGGAGTCCTTAGTGCTCTTTGAGCTTGGTTATTTTCTTGCACAGGTTTCATTACCCAATTAGGTAATGTAGTTAGGTAACTCGATATTACCGATAGTTGCATAAGGAAACATCTGCAAGAAAACAATCAAGCTCAGGGAGCACCAGGAACACCAAAACTACTTCTGAAATCTTCCAAGAAAATTGCAGGAACTTGTCCAGGCAGTCACCAGAAGTCAACACTGACTTGAAGACACACAGACACACACAAAGAGAATCAGAAAAGCCATATGTGTGAGTTGAAGTTTTACTATTACAGTGATGAAGACCACAATTTTTATTACAGGGAAATACTGAAACATGAGCTTCCCAGAAGTACAGAGCTATCATGGAAAGAAACCTATTGACCGCCATGAGGGCAGTCAAATGTTTTGACTCAAAAGCTCCTCTCCACAAATTTGTGTAGTCTTCTGCTAAAATTATGAACTCTATCATTACTGGTAACACCAGAAATTGCTAATTACAATACCTTTTAGACTGTGAAAAAGTAGGTCAGAAAGATATGCTAGTCCTCTGCAATAGACATTTGCTTGAACCTTTTCATTTTAACATGCACATTATCCATATTTGAACCTTCTATATATAGTACAGATTGGTACAGATGAGAAGCACAGCACTTCAGCTGTTTTTAATTGTTAAATGCTGAACATAATTCTTTGGAGAATAGATGAGAGATAAATGTTTCTGAAAGATGTCTCAGAAGTTAAAGCAAATGTATCTTGAAAAAGCCATTTTACTCACTCTCTGCCCATGTGGATCTAATAGCTGTGGAATTTGGAGTTGAGAAGCAAATGCACTTCCAAAAACTGCATTACTCATGGGAGGCAATGCGTGGTAAATGTTGTCTGTAATACTCTGATATGCAGAAACATTTCCAGATGATAAAAATGCTTCCCTGAAAGGTTGTTGGAAAAAAATAGAACAATACTTATTGTCATTATGAGTTACCCACAATTGCTTAAGATGGGTGGCCATATAAAATTTTTAAATAAAGAAAAACAATACTGAAAAGACAAATCCAATTTCTGATTTATTCTGCTCAAACATTGCACAATGCATTTTATTTAAGTTACTGTGACAACGTCTGCCTGAAAAGTGATCTAGCATTTCCCATTGTTTTATCTCTGAACCCTACCAGGATGCTGAAGGTCGTCAAAAAGCCCTTTCTCATTGAAAATGTACTGCTTCCTGTTATTCTCATGGAGAAGGAATGTTAATTTCAACTAGTAATGTAATTACTAATAATTATGCTCTTGGAACTCAATGAAACCAATTTGGAATTTCTTATTCTTCTATCCTTTTACTCCAGTTTACACAATAAGTTTCCCATGAACATTCGCAGCTTGCCCATTTCATCATTGAAGAGACGTGCAGACTCACTCTTCATATGTGATCTTAAAATGCATTTTATAAATAGTGTATAGGTTTAATAAACTAAAAAGGTTGTGATAATTAGTGCTGTTTATTTCATATTGTAGTTATAGCTTTCCAGAAAATGTAGAAATAAAACACTTTTTATAGCTTCTGGAACCAAACCAAACAAAAATTCATTTGAATAGTTTTATTTACACCTTTTAAATTCTCACTGAATGTAAATCAACCCACCCCCTAACCAAAATTATTGGAGTGGGAGGAGCCTTCCTTTACCAGGTTTTGTAAGATGTAGTGTATATATCCTCTGATTGTAGCTTCATAATCACTTTAGTACCAGGAATGAAGATAGATATTTTTCACTTGGTTTTTTAAAAAGGTTTTTAAAAAAACACCAAAGCAAAACAAATGTAAGCTTGCTTGTGTTCCTGCTATTTTACCTTTTGGATACCTGGCATTAGACTAGATAAAAAGTCACCTGCGATTTCCCACAATTGTTTTAATTCATAGCTTTTGGAGGGCATTACTTGGAATGAAAGAATGATTGGTGGAAAACCCAAAGATGCTTTTTCAAAAGGCATGTGGACTTTCTTTGTTTTTTCCATGAAGACATTTCACTTCTCATCCAAGAAGCTTCTTCACGTCTAACTGAATGGTGGAGAATGGAGGGATTCATCTTCCTTTCAGTCAACTAGTTGTTAGCATGTCAAGAAAAAACAAAAGAAGTCCACATGCCTTTTGAAAAAGCACATTTGGGACTACCATGACCTGAATAACTGAGAATCTCCATAGATGATAGTGGAAGAGATGCATTTCTTTCTAGACATATTTGCATCAGAATTATCTCCTTTCCCAGTTGCTTTACAGTCAGTAGGAGAAAAAAATATGGAGTGCTACTCAGCTCCCCAATCTTTTGTCTAGGTTGCCAACCATTCTACATTTTTTTAAAAAGGTGTTTCTTTTAAAAAAAATGTGAATCTGATCCTTTGCAAAGTTAAAGCATCAGCCTTTAGCATTCTTTCCAGCAATGCCCTGCACCCCAAAGAGGCCCCATACATTTTAGTAAATAAATGCACAAGATTTTGGGCACTGCAATTCAATATTTATTTAGAAAAATGCCCACCTGCTAGAAAAAAGAACAAGAAGGAGCTGGGCAGTCAAGTGGTCTTACAGGAAGACGGAGTAAGCCAATAGAATCCTATAGCTGGTTAGGCCACTTCTTGACAGCCATTTTGTGAGGAGGCAACTTTCCCAGCAGTCCTTTTGCAAGTATGCCCCCAACTTTGTCACACTTTCCAATTTCCCACCATATTTGTTCCCTAGTAAGCAGAGAAACAATGGGCTATACATAGTTTTGAATAGAAAAAATACCCAGAGATAAGGGCTGAACTGCCCCTCTTATTAAGAATAATCGGGGAAAAGTTGCAAATATTACAGAAAATACCTCTGATCTGCTTCTTTTTCATATCTTACCTCATTGAATATCTCACTGCTGCTTCAAACTGAAGAAACTTCACTTCTTTGAGCATGGTAAGCATGTGAGACACCTTCTTTGGATCTGAGGAATTTGGAAGGCTGTCTATTTTTTTCTGTATTTCAAGAAGTTCAATTCCTAGAATCCAAAGAGCATGTCTTGGTACCTTTGGTGATTTTTGTTTTGTAATATCACATCAAATACTTTTATCCAGTTGTTACGATGCAGTTCTCTTAAAACCAACCAAGTTGTTGCTAGTTTGACTTATTCTCACTGTCCCATCCAAAATGGGATATACAGTCTATGCTACCTCCACCCTTTAGCACCGCTCCTCTGGAAAATGCATTTGAAATCTTTAGTGGACTGAAACCTCGGTGTTCTGCAACTGTTAGTACATTGAAAAGTGTAGCTTCATTTCTGCAACCTGTGGGACAGGTCATTCTTTTAATAGAGAAAATTAGTCCTACTTGCCCTATCTCCCAGGTTTTCATTCAGTCTACCATTATGGAACAGCTGTGGCAAAATAGATCCACTCCTTTTCCAGCATTCACTACAATAAACAATACTCTATCCCCAACCAGAACAAATCATATCTCAATATTGAGCAATGGATACTAACCAATCTGCTCAGTCCCTCCCCAGTCTGCTGTGAGATGTTCAGAAGGACACCTGTAATCCAAACAGCCTGGTGCACTTCCTAGCTGAGCAAAACTGAAAATGTATGCAATAATGTCGTGAAAGGATGCCACGATTTGCAATGTATGCCGCAGGGCGGTACTGCCAACCTGTGAGAAGGGGGGTTAAAGGACAGACTTTCAGAAAAAAACATCAAGCAGTCAGCAATCACAAAATGAAAGTAGCAGCCAGCTCCACCTGGTTTGACCTCTTCTAGGCTGATCATCCAGGAGTCCTTCCATTAGGCAGCAGAGGGAGAGCAGGAAGCACACTTGCTGTAATGGCTCATCTGGGTGATTCGCCATTTTTGAACTGCCTGCCTGATATGTTATGAGGGCAAACAATACTCCACTTGAATTAAGTCCATTTATCTGATCATTATAAAGACTTTATAACTTTCAGAAGTTACACCTTATTTTCTTTTTGTTCTATGTCTGTCTGTTTGGATGGCAAGCCTGTCGTGCTTTTATTGAATACATAAGCCATTTGGTTGTCTATCCAATTCGAGAACAGACAGAGAAATGCTTTAAAGAAACTGATTGAGCAGATCAGAGTGACACCAATCAATCATAAACTGCTGTAATTGCTGCCTTTCATAAATCCTCTCCAAATAGGTTCACTAAGTGTCCTACTGTCTTTCTTTATTTAGTGTCAACAAGCAGTGTGCTGAGTTGTTTACTGGTGGATGTCAACCTTGCGAGGTAGATGAGGTCCAAAGCCAAATGATTCTACTTGATTGTAAGCTTACATTAACAGAGTCTTGCAGTCTGAAATTACATCTCTCCCCATATCCCTTTTAAGCCCAAGAAACTGCCCGGCCCACATTCCTACTGAAGACTAAGCAGCTTTTATCTTACCATTCCCTTGGCTGCTTCATTTCTGCTTGTATCCCAAGGGCAACTACTATTACAGTAGTTACCAAACAGTAAGCCCAAGTATTATTTTTTTCTAAGTAAATTAAAATTTAACGGATGAACTTTGTATTTTACTTAGAAACAGTAGCACATCCAATATTTAGGAGTTAACTAAGTTTATTTAAGGCTTCTATTGTATTTCTTCATCTTTTTCATCTTTTTTGTGACTGAATTCCTACACTGTGCTAAATCACGTGGGGGCCATAGGTTGCAGATACAAATGAGGTCCCTGAACCTCCTTTTCTGTGGTCCCAAACCTGCCTTCTGTCCATGATTGCTATGTTATTTCATAAATCATGAGTAGCTAAACATGAAAATACAAAAGATACAAGTGTAAGGTAAGCCCTTAGTCCTATACATTTAAAAAAACAAAGTAAACCTTCAAAACTGTTTCCCCAACCACTGGCCTTCCACATCAGCAATGTGGTCCCAGTCTTTTTGCCTCCCCCAGTTTCTCTCCAAATATTAGGCATGGTCTTTGGCCTCCAAAAATTAACCACTTCTGCACTAAATCATCAGCAGGACTGATGAACCCTTAAAATGATAACATTTTAATGATTATCCCAGTGCATAAGAAATCAGCCAATTATGTCTTTTTTAAACAAATCATAGTTTAAACAATTATGGATTAGCATATTGGGTTAACCAAATCCTCCCGGTTTCAGAGTAAGCCAGAAGGATCTTCATTGCATCACAGTTATTTATTATGTATATTAAGAAGCAGTGCAATTTAGCTTCTGTAGCAATTTGAGTATCCCTGCTAGATCTCTATACAGGAGAAAGGCCTGCTTGACTTGTATTCCTTCTATCACAGATATCACCCAACAAAGAATAGAATGGAATGGAATAGAATAGAACTTTTATTATCACTTTAAATGTACACTAATCAGTATACATTAAAATGAAATTTCATTGCATTCAGCTAAGGATAACTATTATGCATATACCCAGATGCGCACACAGAAGCTGATAAAATCTTTGTACCTGCTATCCACCAAAGGATAGGCCAAACTTTCCCAAAATGGAGCATCCATTAGGACTAAGTCCATAATTCTGAGTCAGGATAGTTCTCTTTGTTTTCATAGTATCTCTGATTGTGTATGACAGATGATGATGAGAGAAAATATCGCAAAGTATCAAATATCTTGGGTCACATCTCAGTCACTTTTAAAATCATGATTCCCAATAAAATATATTTTCCTGTGCTGTTCATATTCGCACTCTACTAGTTGATCAATCTCAGATCTAGGCCGTTTGGCCAATAAAGAACTTTGTACAAGATTGTCAAAGCACTGACCTTCTCTGGTAGCATTTTGAATGTAGCTAGGGTTTCTGAAGGGTGAGGGATGAACCACAGGTTCAAGAAGGATTGTCCATCACTGGACAGCAAGCAACGAGGTCGTGGCTGGAATGACCTGATTGTTAACAGAATAATTGAATTACTTGTACAAATAAATTCAATGGTACACAGCACTCAAGAACCACCAATCGATATTGCTTTAACCCCACTGCTTTATTCTTTTTGGCACTTCAATCAAGTTGGTAAGGAACTCTGCAAACAAGTTACAAACCTGGGATCACTGTTAACTTTTTCTTTGGATTCTTTTTCATCTTTTTTCTCTTGTGGCAATCCTATGGTAAAGTATTTGTTTTTCACCCTGGGAAAGCCATCCAGCATTGATTTTATACTGTTATAATAGGCAACGATCTGACTCCGAAGAGAGTACTGAGACATACGGTGAGTCAACCTAAACAGGATCCAAATCTTAATATCAGAAGAATGATCAAAACCAGTGTCTTGATATTCAAATGACCAACTTCAAAAGGAAGAAGTTTCAAAAATTTATCAGTGCTGCTGTGAGATAAATAATGCATAGGATTTTATCTTTTCAGCCTTAGAAATGGCTAATGGTGGAAGAATGCAGACATTCGTTAATATTTCTTATTGTTTCATTGTGACGGTATCAAGTCATTACTTGACTTCTACATTGGAAAATAAACTTATTTATTGTAGATTTTTAAGTCAACCTCCCAGCCTGTGACATACTTTCCCCCCATTTTTAAAAAAAATTCCAGTCACAACACTTATAATATCAGAAAGAATGCAATGCAGATCTAAATTACATGCCCCCCACCAGATATTCTGGACTACAATTCCTGAAATCCCTGAATACTAGTTATGTTGTTTGAGTTATAATCTGAACTCCGTGGAATCCTTCTGTTTGTTTATCTCTGATTCTGGGTCATGATATACGATATCAGTAGCAATGGCTACCTCCTTCCAAGACTCAATAACAAAACCAGCACTGCAACAATCCAAACTTCATGGCTTGAATATCAAGGCAGTTTCTTCTGCCTTATATGTAACACCAAGGTTGATGAATGGTTTATTTATATAAATGCTGTAAATATCCAGTTTGCATAATACACATTGAAAGGTTATATAAAGGATTAATTGGGTTTTTGATTTTCTTTCTTGCTTTAACTAATAACAGAACGCTATGTATCAGATGTTTCAATCTGTTTCATTTTAGGATTATATTTACTCTTTAATTCTTCTATAGCAGTGCTTCTCAACCTTGGCCCACCTGAAGATGCGTGGACTTCAACTCCCAGAATTGAAGTTGAAGTCCATGCATCTTCAGGTGACCAAGGTTGAGAAACACTGCTCTATTACCTCTGCTGAATAAAAGTCAACATTGCACCATTTCCTACCATAACATAGACTGTGGGGAAAAACAAACACACTGTGTATGACTCTTCAGGAGAGATACTGCATACATTTCCTGTACTTGCCTGTGGCAATATTCAGCAATAACTTCTCTTTTGACTTTTTCAGCTTCATCCTAGAAGAAATTAATGCCACTTGTTTGTTACCTAAACTGTACACAGTTGTAATAATTATATATGAAATGTTGTAAATAGAATACCTTGAATTCAAGAGCTAACATATAGGAGTGGAAAGGCACCCTTGTTTGCACAACTATTTTTTTTTAAAGTTAAATATTTTTAAAATATTTTTGCTACAGATTCTTCAAGCGCTATATAAAGTAACACAATAGTGGTCCCTGAATTCTGATTTTCGGCTCAGCCCATTCAAGATTTTTTATATTGTCTTTGACCTTTGAAAGGATATTTTAAAGGAAAGCAGGCGATTGTAGTGGAAAGATTCAGGAATCCTCTTAACACTTCTCTGATTCCAATCCCAACCTGATACATTCAGAATTATTTCAGTGTGTTGACGATTTACCTAATCTAATGCCCCAACATCTGGGAATATAACAATAAATATGCAAATAAATTGCATAAATATATAGATTTTAAAATATAAATAGGATTTGATCCTCATCCCTGTTCTCAGAAACATTTTTGCAAAACAGTTCCCTCAAATAGCAAAAGAAAATTTGAAAGGTTACCATATCTAAAGAATCACCACTTGACATTTTATGGTAACAATTAAAGAAACAATCATTATTAAGTTTTGTTTTTCAAGTATTCCTAAGACTTTACTCCTCTATTATTTCTTTTCATACAAACACACATTCTTGTTCTTATTTGTTCTGATTACAAGACTGACTTAACATATTTTCCGGCGTATAAGACGACTGGGTGTATAAGACGACCCCCTACTTTCCCTGCTAAAATATAGAGTTTGGGCCATACTCGCTGTATAAGGCTACCCCTCTCCTGAGGCACACCAAATAAAAATTTAAAAACATCAGATTTGATTTCAATATGGTAATTTTAATTCAAGTGGTTATGGCAGTATACAGTGCCCAGCCAATCACGGCGAGCAATGTATTTTCTATTAATGAATACAAGGCCTGCCTGCTCGGATTGGCAGAGGGTGTGACATCATCAGCCCGCCTTCCTGACTCCAAGACAGTTGGAGCAGGCCAGCTCTGATATCTAAACAATTTTGGAAAATTGGATATTCTAAAATTTCTTAATTGGCTTCTACTAAATTTAACAAATTGAGGTGGCAGTAGAGAGAGGCTCTCTAGCATAGTCACCCTAAGAGGGGCCGGATCGCCTGTTAGGCATTGCAATCAAATCCCCTGCTTGCCAGATAGAGAGGTGAAGTGCTTTAAAATTGAGGCTTGTGGCTCGCTATGCTTATCTCTCTTTCCGATTGGCAATTACTGCACTGCACTTGCCTCAGAGGTTTCTGGCCGCGCCTGAGGGAAGATTGACTTTGAGAGGCTTGGAACGATACCCGGCGTATAAGACAACCTCCGATTTATGAAATGATTTTTTGGGTTAAAAAGTCATCTTATACGCCGGAAAATATGGTATTTTTTAAATATTTATTTATTGATCCTGTTTAAATGGCCACCAATCTCATAAAACATGGCTACAGATACCTAAAATATATTTTATATTTTAAATTACAGGTAGTCCTCCACTTACAACCATTTGTTTAGCAACTGAAATTACAATGGCACTGAAAAAAGTGAATTATGATCAGTCCTCACACTTATGACTGCAGCAACAGTCTCCATGGTCATGTGATCAAAATTTAGGGGCTTGGTGACCAGCATGTATTTTACAATGGTTGCAGCGTTGATGGGTTGTGTGATCATCATTTGTGACTTTCCCAGTCAGTTTCTGATAAGCAAAGTCAATGAGGGAAGCCAGATTCATTTAACCATGTGATTCTCTTAAGAATTACAGTGATTTGCTTATAACATGGTCATACAATTGAGACAATTGATTTAAGTGTCTTGCTTAACAATGAAAATTCTGGCCCCAATTGTGGTTTTAAGTTGAGGACTATCTATCTGCAAGGACAAAAAATATCAAAAAGCTTAAAGCCAAAGCTATTATAGTAAAGTTGATGAATAACCCTTTAAAAATTATCATCAAACATTGGTTAATTCCTAAACAATTTCAGATACACTTACTGGATTTTGTATTCTACTTCCCAAGATTTCTTTCTTCTGAATGAATGTATTCAACATCAAGTCCCTTGGACCCTGTTTCTCCAGCTGAATTGAAACAAAAGCCTCAGTAGGTCTGGAGAATGAAAGAAAATAACATTACTAAGAAATACTACTGGAATGCAAACTGTATTCATAAGCACCATTTTATACTTTGGCTGTGCCCAGGCATTAAACTTTCTTTACACATACCGGTAATGCTGTTGCTTTTGGGGGGTTTTCTTGCTTTTACGAAGAATTGAAAACCATGGATTATAGTAACAGGATGAATTAAAGTATTACA